TACCATTATTTTTCTGCCTCACTGGTTCCCTCAGACTACGCAGCTTTCCGGGTTTTGAATTCCTGGCCCTCTTGCAGATGTTTGCAAAAAGACTGAACCAAATCAAAATGTCTTGGAAGAGTTCTAACTTTCTAAATTTACACATAACACAGAGCTCTGATCATTTTCAATCTGTGTGACCCAGACCAGACCAGACAAATTTCACCCCCACATTTATTCTAAGCAGAATGAACCTAAAAGGACCTTGATACCAGGATCATGGAACTAGAAAGATGAGAACCTGAGGCTTTTTGTACATTTGGTAGGGTGTCTGCGCACTGTCCCCTGAACACACCTCAGCTTTCCTTCTGCCATGTTACCACCTCCTCCCCTCCTTTGCTACTAGTCAAAATCATATCGATCCATTGTTCCAAATGTCCCACGAATGGCATTTATTCCTCAGATTCTATGATCTCTCCCTCCTTTGAAACACACCCACTGCAGTGTAAACTTCTTAATCACTGGAAGGTGTTTCCCGTTTATTTATCTGCCATCACTTCATCCCCCACCTAGGCACGAGACCCTGAGGACAAGCACATAATAAATGTTGGTTCTGTGGTGTCAAAGAAGTATGTCCAATCACCAGCTTTTGTATGATACCTATTTCATTTATCCAACATGCATATTTTTTCACAATTTAACACTGGTGAAATCAGGACTCATAATCCCTGGCATGCTATAATTTAATTAGTAGCATTTTTTTTTTCTTTCTTTGTGGTACATAAAATATGGGTGCATCTTACGTTGATGGTGCCTTAGATTCAGTAAAATAAAGTATCATTCAAGCATCCCTGATAACAATCATGTTTACTGCTGTCTTCCTGCCTCTAGAGTGAATCATTCCATGTCCTCGGCATTTCCTTAGTTCCCACTGTTGTTTCTTCTTTTTTTTGTTAATTTTATATTTTTGAGAGAGACAGAGAGAGACAGAAAGAGACAGAAAGAGAGAGACAGAGAGAGAGAGAGACAGAGAGAGAGAGAGAGAGAGAGAGCACAAGCAGGGGAGGGGCAGAGAGACAAGGAGACACAGGATCCAAAGGAGGCTCCAGTCTCTGAGCTTCTAGCACTGAGACTGATGCTGGGCTTGAACTTGTGAACCAGGAGATAATGACCTGAGCCCAAATCAGATGTTTAGTCGACTGAGCCACCCGGACACCCCTACTATTGTCTCTTCTTTACCTCCTTTCAATTTTCTACTTTTCTCAAGTAGAGTCAAACTGTGTTACACTGCAGTAAGGCAGTGCTAAATACAGTGCTGTCATTATATTATGATTCTACATGATAAAATGCTGCTTATGATTATAAACATGTTTGCTATATAATTTACTCCAGTTAAATATATAAGCTAGTTAAAATACATCTTTATTTGTTTAAGTGTAAACAGGCCACCATGTCATATGAGCCTCAATTTATGAAGACAACATAGTCAGAAGCAGAGCAGTGTTGGAATTAAATAAGACAACTACAGCAATATATTTAATGACAACATAATTATCATTCTTTGAGTAGCATTGTGGCCTAGGAGAATCTACAGAGAGTAAACATTTCTAAACGACTCCAGATGCCCTGTACCACCCAATAATCCTTGTTTATGTAGTTTCATCTTTCATCTGTCCATGAAGCTGGGAAATCCAGCGGTTCTGAGCCAGACAACTCCAGGGAGGGGACACTGTCCTTGTTGGCAGTGCCTTGGGGGGAGCCTGCCATGACCCTAGTGTTGTGGAAAGTGCTGGTCTTTCACTCCCTCTTCCCATAGCCTAGGGCCCAGCGAAAACAGATGGCTTGTCCCACAAACCCTGCCCTGTGCAGCCCCAGGCTTCCCGGCCTCTCTCACGCCTCTGCTTAGGCTGACCCCTTCATCCACAACAGCACTATCTAATAGGACTTTCCGTGATTGTGGAAATATTCTATAGGTCTGCACTATCCTCAACAGTTGAGCAGAGCACTTGGAAAAGGTGCCTAGTGCAGTGCCAAGAATTGTACTTTAATTTAACTTAAAGTTCAATAGCTACACGGCTAGTGGCTACCATGTTGGACAGCACAGACCCAATATGTACTTTTCTACATGTTCATCTAGCATGTACATCTCCAAATCTCAAGGGGTAGCAGCTCAGGGGCTATTTCCTCCATGAGATCCAGTCTTCCCGGTGGAAATCATTCTCTCCTTCCTCTGAATGCCCACTGCACTTTGAACCACTACTGTAGCACCTAACACTTTTTGACTTGTAGGCATTTGTGTACGCTATCCTCTACATATGTATACCCTCTGTGACAGCGGTAACTGACTTGTCCTTAATTTGAACATCCTAGTGCAAGGGATGCTTTAAAATGTTTGTTGCATGAGTCTATAATAGCAACGCAGCAATCAGCATTAACAGTAAGCAATTTACAAAAACTGCTGTGTCGGAAAGGACTAACTTTGACAAAAGAAAGGGTTTGGGTCAGTCTCAGCTCCTTGGAGGTAATTCCTAATCCCTTGGAATATCCTGCCTAATAGGAGAGTCTTTACCTTGGAGCCTTGGGCTCCAAGCCAAATAGTCTATGCTAACAGGGTGATTTATGATGGAGGCCTTAGGCTAAGAGTTCTCAGCTCAGCCTCTGAAAGGGCTAGAGCCTAAGGTCAGCCAGGTGGAAAGTTAGCTTTATCTATATGGCCAGTCTCTAATAAAAACTCTGCACATCCCGATGGACTTGGGTACGTTTCCTTGGTGCGTATAGTTGGTGCATATTGTCACACATCATTGCTGAGCGGCATAAGCACTAACTGCATGGTTCCACTGAGAGAGAACAGTCGAAAGTCGCGCCTGGTCTCTCCTGCACCCTGCCCTAAATGCTGCTTTCCTTCGCTGATTTTAATCTGTACCCTTTTGCCACTTTAAAGCATAACTGTGAGTATAATGGCTTTTCTGAGTTCTGAGAGTTCTTCCAGTGAATTATTAAACCTGAGAGTGTTCTTGGGAAGGTCCCAAACTCACAGCTGCCCCAGGTAGTCTATGCCATATGATTGCCTGGAGGCTGACTTGTTGAGAGTTTTTTTTTTTTTTTTTTAATGTTTTATTTATTTCTAGGAGAGAGAGAGAGACAGCGTGAGCAGGGGAGGGTCAGAGAGAGAGGGAGTCACAGACTGAAACAGGCTCCAGGCTCTGAGCTGGCAGCCAGCACAGAGCCCGACGCGGGGCTCGAACCCACGAACCGCGAGATCATGACCTAAGCGAAAGTCGGACGCTTAACCGACTAAGCCACCCAGGCGCCCCATGACTTGTTGAGAGTTTAACTCCTCCGACCCCAGCCCTGATCACACCGCCTCCGGACTGGTAGGGCTGGAGGCCCCAGTTCACATCACGGCTGGTAGCCAGAGGCGCTGAGTCTGGGTCTCAATATGGGCAATGGAGTGGTGAAGCAAGGGGGTGTTTGGGACCGGATCACACAAGGAATGGGTATGGGAACAGAGGAAATGTGTGGGGAACCGAAGAAAGGAAAGACCAGGGAAGCTGAGACGCATGGGGCAGCTGTGTGGCAGTTGTGGTGAGGGAGAAGGGAGCAGATCAGGGATGTACGGGTCCTTGACTTGAAACTTAAGGAGGCTCTGGTACCCCCCTGTGCTCTGTTCCTCAGGAACTAAGAATTCCTGCCCCTGGGAGTCAGGAGCTCCACAGGCCAGAGCTCACCTGATTTAAGGCAGGGTTATACTCTTACTTTTGCTGTACCATTTGTATACTTGTGACCAAAGGACCAGATGCTCAGACCCTGAACAGGAAGGCAGAAGGGGCAGTAGGCAGGGGAAAGAGCAGAACTGCTTCTTTGATTAAGCAAGGAATTTGAGCTGGGCATTCCTTCTCTATTCCCCAGATCAGCCCTCTGATTCCAAGTGCTGTGATTTAAAGAAATGGCCCCCTTCTCAAAACCATATCCTTTATATTTCCATAGATGCTGCTAATTAGAAGTTCACTTGAGTTAACTAGCAAACACCTAAAATAGGGTTAAGAGAAATGGTCATTCACAACTTACTGTAGATCCAGTAAATCAGATTGCTTTCCTAATCTGAGCTCAGCCACGTTAGAGGAGAGTCACTGCCTTGTGGAGAGGCGAAATCATTCCGGGGGCATTTCTGGTTAGGTAGGGTCCCCGGGGTGGGCTTGGACACAGGACATCTGCCTGCTGGGGGAGAAATCCAGATATGAAAGTAGGATGGCGTGTGGAAAACGTTTCCACAGCAGACTCATGGCTCCTTCGTCTCTACGACTGGGTTCTGTTTTCACCCATTCTCAAGTCCCTGGCCTTCTCCCCAGCACTATACTTGCCCTGCATGGAGATTCCAGGAGAGAAGCATCAGGCTGGCCTCAGGAGGGCCTCTTGGGAGACTGGAAGTGCTTTTCTAAGCAGACATAGGAGTAAAAGCACCAGCAGACAGAACAGATCCGTGGGATAAGTAGGGGCCGGGAGAGAGAGAAGGGCAGAAGTATCCTCTGCCATATGTAGAATGCGTGCAGGCTTAGGAAGTTCTCTAAGAAAAGAGACTTCTATTTGTTCATTTCCACAGTACCTGGCACAGGATGGGTGCTCAATATTTAATGAATGATCGAATGGACTGAAAAATATGTGAGTTGCCAGACTCACACAGGTCAAATCACTTCCCATCTGGGATATGAGCTTTTTTTTCCTTCCTGGGTAGGCACTGAACCTAGTTGTATGGGTTTACAGATTTTTTAATTCCTATTTTGAATCCTATTTCCTATATCTTATTCTGAAAGCCCCTAAGCTTACCCTTCATTCTTTCTTGTCTCTTTGCAACCGAACCCTGGGCTTTCTTAGGGTCTCAATATCCAGGAGGCATTTGAGTCATTTTTTATAGGAGGGAGGCTCTTGTGCTCTTGTTTGCACACGAGAACAGAAGAAGACAGTCCCAATGAGACATGAGGTAGGACACAAAACACACCATTAATGAGGAGCAAACCCATGAGGTCAGGGAAAGGGGAGCTGGAGGGCTCCTGGGCTCCTCTGAGAGGAGGTACTGCCATGGTGGTCCAGGAGCTGGTGGTCCAGGGGCGGCTGCTCCTTCTGGTGAGGGAAGAGGTGCGCAGCAGGTCCACGAGCAGACGGCTGGCCAGGCCCCGTTGATGTCTATGTCCTTTCCCAGGCATAGCCTCAGGGCTCCTAGGAAAACACTGACCAATAGATTAAGTTGAAAAATATGTAGGAGGCCGGAAATATCAACCTGGAGTACTTGTCAATGGCGTGGGTGTTCTGGAAGATGCGAAGACCCACGTGGCCCTTCAGAAGCCCCTTCTTCCTGGAGGAGTTGGATTCATTGCTCAGAGCCAGGTGGACCACTATTTTGTCTTGTCTTTCTTCTTCTGTCAGAACATGGCTTCTTGGGTACCCAGCCAGGCTGTTGGCCTCAGACTCGGTGTAGCTTCCATCCAGCATCATGGTTCTCGAGTGCAGCATTCCACACATGCAGGGGAACTGTGGGTAGCAAACACAAGAGGGATGGCAGGCATGTTTAGACCTTGTGGACGGGCAAAGAAGGTGGTGGGCGGAGAGCAGAACCTCCTGGCTACTCAGAAAGGCAGAACTAGAAGGATCTCCAGAGGTCACTTAGTCCAATGACTCTCTACCCTGGCTGCATATTAGAATCACCCAGGGAGCTCTTTAAAATGGCCACACCCAGGCTCCACTCTAAACTAATTAATTTGAAGCTCTCCAGGTGATTTTACTGTGCAGCCGCGGTCCGGAATCATTGATTTAGTTCACATGCTCTCAACTATAGAGAGGCTAAGACCCAGAGAGACCATATAGTTCTCCTGAGATTAAATAGCTAGTGTCAGAGTCAAAACTTTAAACGTATGCATTTTCATTCCAGTTGTGGGTCTCCACCTCTTTGTGCATGAGGCAAAAGATGATTAGGTAGGAGAGCATCCTTATTCTAAAGAGTTAAATTTAAGCATAAATTCAAATTAGGCTAATTTTATAGTAATTCTGAAGAGTTAAATTTAAGCATAAAACATCAGGGTGCCTTCAATCCTTTTTTATTATTTTATTTTTAAGTAGCTTCCATGCCCAATGTGGGGCTTGAGTTCACAACCTTGAGATAGAGAGTCGTATGCTCTACCAACTCAGCCAACTGGATGCCCCTGCAATGCCTTTTTTAAGGAAGGAAATGGTTTCACTTAACTTCTTTCCAAAATTTGAGTCAGCCAAGAGTGGGCTTCTAGCTGGCACCATTCAACAAGTCATGAGTCCATATTTGTCAGATGAAGGCTTGTATTTTTCTCAGCAGCTCTATTCAGGAAAGTTCATTGGATTATAAATCAAAAGTGTTTAAATATAATCCAAAATCATTTGACAGTGACCAATGTGCAGATTATTGAAAATCTGAGTGAATACTACTCAAGTGCTAAAGTAGAAAAAGTTTGAATAGAATTTTAAAAATAAATCCTTAAACAATTTAGCCTATTTGGAGACAATGTAGAAATATTTAACAGGTATGATGTGGGCATTGAAAGACTGTTTTTGAAAAGGTAATGCATCCTCTTTTCCTAAAATTTAAAGTTCCCTTATATTAAGGAGCTACTAGCCACCTAGATGAGCATAAATGTGGGATTTTAATATCCCTGATCTTTATACCTTTTAGGTGAATGCCCATTTTGATTGGTGCAATGATGAGCAATGATTTGGTAACAAGCTGGCATTTTATTTTTTGCTGTGATTAATTAGAGCCTGAATATGAATGGAATTAATGTTCTCTCCTTGTGCCAAAGGCCCATGCACATTGCCTGAATCTCTCATTTGCATTCTCTCTCATGCTGCAGGTTAATATAGTATGGTGGTACAGTGTACATAGCATAGTATTTCCAATGAGTCTAAATGCTAAAGGTATATTTGGCTGAATTTTCACTGGGTCAGAGCACAGATAAATACAGGAATTTTTAATCCTAGAACTCTCTCCTTGTCTGGTCATAGGACATGGAGGCACCATCCCTAAACATGTTCAATAATAATAGTGATACTTTATGTCTGTCTAGGACCCCACAGTTTCTTAAAAAAAATTTTTTTTAATGTTTTATTTATTTCTGAGAAAGAGAGAGAGACAGCATGAGCGGGAGAGGGTCAGAGAGAGAGGGAGACACAGAATTTGAAACAGGCTCCAGGCTCTGAGTGAGCTGTCAGCACAGAGCCCGACGTGGGGTTCGAACTCACGAATTGTGAGATCATGACCTGAGCCGAAGTTGGACGCTTAACTGACTGAGCCACCCAAGCGCCCCTAGAACCCCACAGGTTCAAAACAACTTTTATATATATTATTTCATGAGATCCTTACAATAATCCTGGGAGGAAGGCGAGTGAGGGTTCAGCTATACCTTTTTTACAGATGAGGAAAGGGAAGCCCAGCATAAGTGGCAGAATTGGACCCAAGAACCCAAGTCTTCTTGTTCCTAGTCTTGATCCAAAGACTTTCTGCTTTCTGGGATCCATTGTGGTAGAAGCTAGAACCTACTTTAAAACAGATACCCCTCCTTTTGCATAAACATCGCCCTTTTCGACACACAGCCCTCCCTCCTGCCATTCTCATCCAACCAGTAGCTTCGGCTAGGACAGGAAATGAATGGAACTTGTCTCGCCTTCTCCCGAAGCTTCCTCTCTTTCCGCTCCTGCACCGTGGTCAGGTAGTTGACGGCTGCGTACTCCAGCACCGAGAGGAACACGAACACAAAGCTGACCCAGAGGTAGATGTCCACCGCCTTGATGTAGGACACGCGGGGCATGGAGGCGTTCACTCCTGTGATGATGGTGGACATGGTCAGCACGGTGGTGATACCTGCAACATCCAGCTCTAGTTCAGCTGCCGACAAGGGTACAGAATAGCTCCCACATTCCACTGAGTCACCATTTTACATGCTCCATCTCTTAAATCTAACGAGAAATCCCCGGGGCATGGAAACATCCATGCTGTGGACCTGTCCCACAGGCGGCAGGTGGCCCCCGCCCTCCTCTTTCACTTTAGGGGACTGGGTCAGTGCCATGTGGCTGACCACATCAGCAGTGCTTCACGAGGACCTGTCCAGATGTGCATTTGAAATGGTGAGTAAAGGACACCTCTAAAGGAAACTTCCCACACCGTAAGGAATGGCCTCGTTCTCACTCTGGCCACATTAAGTCTCTGAAGACTGAAAATTCCTGGAAGCCTATGTGCTAATTTCTTCCTCACTGTGCCTTGCCAGTGAAACCCCCACATTTCTGGGAGCCTGACTCGATTCTGTCCAGATTGACAATGATGAACCGTAAAAGTTCACTCTGGAGTTGAGGGTCTCCAAGGACTAAAACCACAACTCCAGGGCGTACAGCCCTCTCCCTCCCCCCAAATCTCCTGATACGGGCCCTGCTTTCAAACACTCACTCTACTCAAACAAGGGCAACAAACAAAATTCTTGTATGTACAGAATAAGTTTGTGCCATTTGTAGAATTATCTTATTCATCGAAGTACTGAGCTCTAACACTACTGGTGGTAGAACTCTAGTCCCCAGACAAGCTATTTCACTCTGAAATGACTGCAGCAGAGCTGATGTAGTTGTAGCTCCCTGTGGTTTTCATAAAGCAGTCTAGGAAACTGAGAGCAGTGTGGGAACGGTGAGGGCAGGAAGCAGGGGGAAGTCTGGTCCTTTGGGCTCTGGCAGCCCATCGGTTAAGAACTCTGAATAATGATTTTACTTTTTCTAGTGATCAGTTGTAAAACAAATAACCACCCTATCACACCTTATCACATGCTTTTACCCAGTGAAACTCTGGCGGGCACAGCTCTGCGGTCGATCCAGAAGGACACCCAGGACAGCATGACCATCAGGGTGGCAGGGAAATAGGTTTGGAGCAAGAAGAAGAAGATGTGGCGTCGCAACGTGAAGTTAATGTACAGACGGTTGTACCAGCCTGGGGGACACAGGAGGAAGCCAGGAGGTTCAGTGCAAGAGGCAAAAAGAAATTCCTTCCCTGGGAGCCCTTCTTTCCCCCATATTCTCAGCCCCCGTGCTCTTTCCCCCATGCTCTCATCTTCAGCAGAAAGTTAAAAGTGAATGATCAGTTGACTTAATATGATACATTTCCTTTCTAAAATCGGAGCCCTCTCTCCTATAAACAAATTTATTCAATATTACCTAATTTCCCTCCAAAGCATTTTGGGGAAAGGTAGAAAGAGAGATCTAGGTTTAGCTGCTTGTTTGATATTTGTTATTTGCAAACGACGACCACATTTCCTCAGGAATCACTGTTCAGGAGCCTAAGAAGGTTCCGGTTCTATTTTATTGAGGCCAATACCAGGGAGGCGGGAGCCAGCAGAGCTGGGCTGTTGCCACTCTTCCCTTTGTTGTAGGTCGGTCAGCTGAGCCAGTGTCCACATACATCGCTAGCTGAGTGGTTGTAAACAAGGACTAAAATGGTAAGGCTTCAAATGACCCACAAGATCGTTACGCAATCACTGGGACCACAGATGGGGACAATGGCGGTATACACGTATGAAGTGGACTGAAGCTGTGTGCACATCCTACCCCCTCCCGTCTCAGCCCAGCCTGGGATGCTGACTCAGTAGCTGGCAACGGGGCCCAGAAATCTGCCTGTCAAACACACTCCCCTGATGGTTTGGATGCAGGAGGACCTCGGGCTGCACGGAAAAATGCTGCTGAGGGAGGGGACAAAAGGTGACCGGGCTGGAGTGGAAAGTTAGTGGTGAGTCGGGGAAAGGAAGGGGTGGATCAACAGAGGAAGGCTGGAACAACAGGACGGGTCCAGACAAGCTTGACACACGGTTACTATACACGTTGCTGGGTTGTTTCAGTGAGGTAGGTGCTTTCAGTGGAGTGGATAAACAGAAAGTCATCTTCAAATATGACAGAAACTCCCAATCCTTTATTCATACCACAACATTTACCCAGTCATGTCAGCTTTATTTTCCATACTTAAATTGGTGCCCATGAAGCAAATCACATTGTTCCTTAGGTCTGCGCAGGGTTTTTCTGAAAAGGCTGAGAGTTGCCCTCATTCTGCTAAGGGTTATTCCACTTCCCTTTCCTTGGAAGAAAACCACGGAGAGTTGCCTTGGAAACACCAGGAAGAAACCAGGAGCTTTAAAAATGTATACTCTAGGGGTGCCGGGTGGCTCAGTCAGTTGGGCATGCTCGACTTTTGATCTCAGCTCAGGTCATGATCCCAGGGTCGTTGGATTCTCTCTCTCTCTCAAATAAAGAAATAAAAAGGTGCCTGGGTGGTTCAGTCTGTTGAGTGTCTGACTCTTGATTTTGGCTCATCGCTCATGGCATGGAGCCCTGCATCAGGCTCTATGCTGACAGCACAGATCCTGCTTGGAATTCTATGTCTCCCTCTCTCTCTGCCTCTCACCTACTTGTGCATGAGTGTGCTTGCATGCACACACTCTCTCCCCCAATAAAAAACGAAAATATATTTTTTAAAAACAGTAGCACATAATAAAAAGTTATATAAGACATTCTTAAAAATGGTTTTAGAGTAAAGGTTGGTTTGAACTTACCAAGAAGATATGAGAAAGGAAAATTCTGTGGCAATACATATCAGCAGAAAAGGGAAGAGAGAGGTGAGAACGAGCACTGTGGGCATCAAGTGAAGAAGGCTTGGGCTATCTAGACATTAGACATAATGTCATTAACATGACCTTCACTGAGGCTCAGTCTTTTTCCATGTTTGATGTTGGGGACAGGGGTGTGTGGAAGGCAGGTGAACAGGAAGATGGTGGCCATATGGGGGCAGAGAGTAGAACAAAACCTTCCCACAGAAGGGCCTGGACTTCTCAGTACACAAAGGGTAATGAAGTGAGAAGTCCTCTAGGGTTCTATAGCCACCACAGGGCTATCGTGGGTTGAACTGTGTCCCTCAGAAAGATATGTCCAAGTCCTAACTCCCAGTTTCTGTGAATGTGACCGTTTAGAAATAGGGTCTTTGTACATGGAATCAAGATGAGATGAGGTCCTATTGCATTAGGGTGGGCCATAATCCAACAACTGGTATCGTTAGAAAAGAGGGCAGTGTGGACAGAGAGACACAGAAACAGCAGCACGTGAAGGACCCAGAGAAGGAACACAGGGAAAATGCCACTTGACAACAGAGGCTGACATTAGAACAATGCAGCACCCACCAGAAACTAGTAAGAGACAAGGAGAGATTCCTCCCTAGAGTGTAAGGGAGGAGCATGGCCTGCAGACTTCTGGCCTCCAGAACTGTGGGCGAATGCATTACAGTTGTTTCAGGCATCCAGACCGTGGTGCTTTATTATGACAGCCCTCGGAAAACTACCACAAGAGCTCACGGTGAGATTAGTGGAAGACTGACAAGTGCAACCTCTCAAAACTTCGCACAGCCCTGGGTCCAGGATGAGTTACACTAAGCATTAAAAATAAATCTATAGATTGGAATATAAGTAAGAAGTACATGTATTACTTTCCTAGGATATCTATCATCCGTATCATTAAGTCAGATAAACCAGATTACCGAATAGCATGTGAAACATGACCCCACTTCCGTACAATTACATAATTAAAGCAAGCTGTTTGGAAGGGTGTGTGTCAATTTGTTAGGAGTAGTTGACTCTGGCCGTGGGATTTCTGAGGACGGCAACTTTTTAAAACTCCGCTTTTAAGTGCTGCTAATGTTTGGTAGAACTAAGCATTATCCGATAATCCAAATTCCTTTTAACTGGAAGGGGGAAAGTTTAAGGCTGGAGAATTCTCATGCATTTTCTTCCACATTTGAATCGGACCATGGCAAACATTAGCTACCAGTGCTGCTGTAGAAGGCCAGTCTGGAAGTGGTATGAAATTTCTGAATCAGAAACTGAGACAGCGAGATCTTCTCATCTGTTTTCAGGGATTCATCCCCATTCTTCCAATACAGCATCAGATCTTCATCTGTATATGCATCTTTGGGGAAAGGAAAATAAGTTAATTTGATTCCTTTGAATTCTGACGCAGGTTGAAACAACAGAGAAATCCTACACCAGTTTCAGTGTAAACAGGTCTTAACACTGGCAGGCAGTACTCGGTCTCATGGTTACTAAAATGGCACAAAGATTGGAGAGGAAATAAAGGCAAAGATCTGTCATTAGGTACACGGATACTTACAGCTTTCCAGCTCCAAAGAACAGGTCTGGGAGTCCAAGGGGAAGTGGCTGAAGTCCATGTTGCACATGGCAGTGACCGTAATCCTAGGCAACCCAAAAGAACATATTGGCTCATGCAGTGACTTATTGGCTGATACGCCTGCCCAGAGTAAGAAGAACACAGACATGACCAAGAACGGCTGCACTGTTTTCCACAGGATGTGTTAGCAGTGCTCTGCCCAGGCCCCGGCTACAGAGGGTGTTTGCCACCAGTGGCCCACATCTGTACTCTTCTCTGGGCATTGCCCTCAGCCAGCAGGCCGCCTCCCTCAAAGATGCCTGGGTTTTATGCCCTCCCCCACCCTCTGCCACCCCAAAGCTATTAGCACTGAATTCTGGTGAACCATACAAGCAGGCCAAGAAGATGTGGAATAAGCCTGTGTAACATTCATTAGTCCAGAAGTCAATCTGCAATAGCACTCAATAAACAGTAGCTACTGTTTGTTATCTTTTCTTTTTAATGTTTGTTTATTTTTGAGAGAGAGAGAGAGAGAGCAGGAGCAGGGGAGGGACACACACACACAGAGAGAGAGAGCGAGAGCGAGAGAGAGAGAGAGAGAGAGAGAGATACAGAATCCAAAGCAGGTTCCAGGCTCTGAGCTATCAGCACAGAGCCTGATGGTGAGACCATGACCTGAGCTAAAGTCCCAGACACTTAACTGGCTGAGCCACCCAGGCGCCCCAATTGTTACCTTTTTTCATCTTTATTACCAAAAAACTAGAATTATAGGCTCTCAGGGGTGGAAGGTATCTAGAAGGTCATTGATTCCTTGAACTCATTCAGGCCAACTAGTCTCCTAACCTGAGCTTGGAGATCCCAGATGACAGGGAAGTCACTGGCTACTAGGGTGACCATTTCATCTTTAGAAAGTTCTAACAGGCATTGGAAGACTCGGACCATCCGTATAGCCCACAGGCCCAACCACGGTGACAAACTCTTCAGGGCCAAAGAGACTGACCTTACATAGTAGAATGGCATTGGAGGAAGGAACAGTGAGCCCTGGACAGTTACCTCATGCTGTACAGCACATGCCCATCCGGTAACACTCTCAGCATGATGTTGTCAGTGGTGGTGTCATGGGTAAATGACCTTTTGGAATGAACAAAGAAGACGTCCGGGACCCAGATCTTCTTTACCAGCCGGCCATCAAAGGTCATGCTCTTGTTGTTGTTGCTGGGAAAAGCCAGCCTCTCATCCTTCCAGTAATGCCGCAGGTACAGGGTCATGGTGAAGTCCTATGGGAGCCCGAGATGACACCAAACAGAAATGCTTAGAAAGCTTCCTTTCTTACAGTCAACTCATCATCAACCAATGCAACAGAAACCTCAGGCTCAGTCTCCAGAGTTGGAGGCGACAGTTCTACAGCCTTGTAGGACAGTAGCCATGACAATGGTGCTGCTAGGAAACCATAGGAAGGAGAATGGTTCGTTGTTGTGCATCATGAGGTTGGAGTCCAGGAGAGTGAGCAGCCACGCTTCGGGCTTTGCAAATGAAACCCGCAGGTACAAGGTGGACAGCTTGGCATGGGGGCCAGCAGGGCAGGATTTCCCCAAAGTCTTACTCTCTCACCTCAACTTGTGCACACAGGGCTCTTTACCTATTGACTAAGCATTCAGTTTCAGGTTAGTGGACACTTGGAAAAACCTGTACAGTCAAGTGTCCCATTTAAGAGAGTTTCTATCATTGGTCTTGTAGAATCTTTGAAGGCAGAATTGTGTCTTTCTCACCATTGGATTCCCAAGTCCTAACTCAGTGCCTGGCAAGGCACGTAGTAGGCACTCAATAGATATTTGCAGGATGGAAAAATGGGGGGTGTGGGAGTGAATGGATGAAGGGTTAGACAGCTGCATATCTGCTCTAATTTCAGCCTCAAAGCTCATTCTGCTAGACAGTGTCTCCTTGCCTGCATAGTTGACACCTTAACCAAGAGTCTGGCCCTTCTGCCACAGACAGAAGATGTGAGTGCTAGGTCACAAGTGCAAATAAGTAAATAAGTGCCCAAACATCCTCTTTGGGAGCAAGGATGGAAAGCACCTAGTGGTGGTGGTCTCAGAGCTTAGTGCCCAGAAACTTCTACTTGACCAGCACACCTATACCCCTCCTGGCTGTCCTGTAAGGTCACCCGTGGAGGGGAGCACCCCACCCACCCAATTCTCCACCCCTACCTCTTCCTCCCTTTGTCCTCCACTGTTTTAGTTTAAGTTTGTAAACCTGTTTCTTCTGCTCAGGGGCCTTTTCCCTGCTCTTGCTCTGGTGCTCCCCACACTGTCTCCTTTTAATCCTTCAGGTCTTAGCTGAAATGAGACTTCTTCAAAGAGCCTTCCCTTACCACATGACCTTGGTGGATCCTGCCAAGGAATGCGTAGGGGAGCTATGCTCAAGGCAGGCACTGAAGAGCAAAGCTGCAGAATTTCTGTCTGAAAATGTCCACCTCCCATGCTCCTCCAAGTGTGGTTCTTCTGACCAGTCACATCACTTGAGGAGTGTGTTCAAAATGTACGGGGCTGAGCCCCACTCCCAGAAACTCTGGTTCAGAAAGCCTAGGGTGGGGCCCAGGAATCTGCATTTAACCGACTCCCCAAGTTGAGAACCCCTGCTCTAGGTTTCACTGCACCTGAGCCAACTGAGTCCCAGTTTTATTCCCTGCGGCCCCTGCTCCACCAACCAGGGCACAGCCTGCATCCAGGCAGCCCCACCAGCCACAGGTGCTCCCAGAACCTTAACCCCAGGACCTTGTACCAAAGGCTGCCCCGCCAAGGGCACTGCATACCATGTCCACTTCCGAGATGCTATCCAGGCTCTCCACCTGCACGTCCACACCCACCGGGATAGCAGGGCCTGCAGAAGAGCAAAGACAGCGGGTGAAGGCACATTTCCATCTACCAGTGGGTCAATGACCCCAAGCTCCTTCCTGGGGAAAGCCTGAGTGGAGCAGAGGTGAGACAGTGGCTTGAATTCTATGAGGCTTTTTACTTGTTATTTCCTGACATGTTGGGTGCCTCAGCTTTCTTCCTGAGGGCGGGGCTTGAGTCTGCCTTATGTTGTCTTTCCTGAGCCAAGGAGAATGGTTAACCCCTTCTTGTCGGATGAATCGATGAGCTCGATGAGCTGGGTTACTACGTTCTACATCCCAGGGCTATCTCTGTAGGGTCAAGGGAATAATGCTCTAGTGTCTGAGTAGGGCTCCTGGTCAATTGTCCTCCTGGGACATCGACAGAGGACAGATGATGCCAAGTAGCCTCTGATGAGGGCTTGGGACACCTGCATGCCCTGGGCTAGATTTTTTCAATTAGTCAAACTCTACCTACAGAGGACCTAACAGATAACTGAGATCCTGCCCTCTAGAAGTCTTCAGTCTAGTGTGACAAGATCTCTGTGCAGTTCGATCACGGCAAAAGACATTACCATACAATATTTTTAAATCCTTTCAGGTCAGGTCAGATGAGAAGTAGGAGAGTACATAGCACAGGGGCTTGACCCTCAATTCCATCCGGCCCGTGGCAAGATTTCCAAAACCATGTTTCATGGTGGGTCTATCTGTGACTTCCTGTTCTTTTTCCTGGGCTGGATAATGGTTACATTCACTTTGTGACAACTTAGTGGGCTGTCCACTTACAATTTATGTACTTCTGGGTGTATGTTATACTTCCATAAAATGTTTCTTAGATTTTAATATATTTTTTAAACCTAGAATGGGGAAACCCAAAAGCCTGTGTTTGTCAAGCATATTAACAAATGCTATTATAGTCATCGACAAAAAATATCTCTGAGAGAGTCAGGTGGCACCTGGGCAGAGGGCATGAGACCAGCCCGGCGGCCCTGGGAGCCTCAAACCCTGGCTAGCTGGTGTGGGACCAGGGCATGCTGACCCACTGTGGTCTGAGAACCTTGGGGTGGCTGGGGGAGTCTGGGTCTTAGGAATGAGAAGGTCTGGAAGGCACCAAGACTTTGGTCACAGGCTGGAAAAGAGGACCAGAGACTCTGACGTGTAACCAGAAGCCTCAGTCCTCAGTTCCACCCCAAGCTGGGGAGCCACAGGTCCTCATGGAGGTAGCCCAGAGCATTGGATGGGCTCATCAACTCTCTCAAGTTTCCCCCGTACACCTGCTAATACTTGCAATCCCACCATTAAAGATTCGTTTTTTGACTGAGCCTAATAGAACATTTTATTTTATCACTATAAAACAAGCATTTTATTTGTCACTATCAGGATTTAATGGATATCTTCTATGTTCTGAAACATGAAAGTAAATGAGTACCATGCTTTATTTTTTATTTTTACTTTTTCCCTTCTCACATAAATCAGGGTGTAAGCTGATCTTTTTATTTTCTCGTAGTTTTCAACTGATGGCTTAGTCATCAGGGCCCATGAGAAGGCCCTGCTCTAACAGCTGTGTTCTCCTTTTATTCCAGGCTCCCGGGGTGCTTTGAAGGTGCCAGAGTGGAATGGTCAGTGTGGAAGGAGGCCTCCTCCTAGGGCTGACCAGTCTGCCTTTCTCCCCCAGGGGGCTTATAACATGAGGGAGAGTCTGCAGGCAGCCTGGCCAGGGTCCTCTCCTAGTACACAGGCCCTGCTCCCTTTCACGGGGCTATGTTCCCCCAGCATTGCCATTGGGGAAGTGGGGCTGGTTAATTTCTTCATCCGCTGGATGCTTTGTTAGCCAGAGATGTTAAAACAGCCCAGAGTCTGAGCTCCTAACCCTGGCAGTACTGTCTCTCGTGGACATGTGCTGTACTTGACCGGCTCTCCTTTCCCCTCTCTCCCTTTCTCTAAGGTGCCATGTGATCTGCAACATCCAGTGGTTCCAAGAACCAAAGGAAAGAAACAATATAGCCATCATCCTCTTTGGACCTACTTCCCAGTGGCCTGGTTTTCAGATAATGGGCACAGTGTTTGAATAGGAGCTGGTTTTGGCAAAGGACATTTTCAAGATAAAATATATCAGCTTGCTTGGAGTCTGTTACTGTGTCTCTCTGTTCTCAGGGCCTGCCCTGCTCTCCACAGCTGCCCTAAGAGAAATGTGATAATGCCTGTGAGGATGAGGTCAGTGCTCCAGAGGTACTGCCCACGTGGGAGTGCAGGTCAAGTTCTCAGGAGACGTGGGTCATTGGAGGTAAACAATGTGTGTGTTCAGGAGGCTCTAATGCTGTATTCCCAGGGACTCACATCTCAAGTTTGAACGGAACCAGCAGCCCTACCCTCCTTGGTCTGAGTGCAGTGGGGTTGATCTTTGCCTTTGACCTGCCCTAGTAGGGCTAATGCTTCCAGGCTCTTCTGAACTCTCTATTGTGTGGCCCTTCCTAACATGATTTTGGGAGAAAGTTTTCCTAATTACTAGATTTTTTTCCTCCTTCTGTGAACATTTTTATGTTTTGCATAGGACTGGGGCCCATAAAGAGAAAGAAAAGTCTAGTTAAATTAAGGGGGCATTCATGCCGTGGCCTCTTCATGCTGCTATGGGTTTTTCTGCATAAAGAGAAGGATTTAGTAAGCTAAACAGAAGTCACCGGTAGGATTTCATGCAGTATAGCCAGTGAGATGACAAATTCAAGGCAGCATAAAGGAGATACCTGTGTAGTCAAGCATTTTCCTGGCTTTTAGCCTTTCTACCATTATTTCTCCTCACATGGTCCTAAAAAGCACACATTAGGAATTTATCCATTTTTGAAATTAAGATATATGTCATTTCTTCCTCACTGACTCCAAGAATAAATATGAGACAGAATTCTCAGACAAACTAAAACAGAATTTGCCAACATGTGTCCTGGCCTAAATGAAGGGATCATTTCAAGCCAAAGGAATGTGATCCCAGAGGGAAAGCTTAAGATGCAAAAATGAATAAAGAAGAACAAAAATAGTAAACATATGCATAATTCTAAGTAAGCACTGACTATATAATATAATATATTATTTTATTTTATTTTAAATTTTATTTAAAACAATTTTTAATGTTTATTTTTGAAGGAAAGAAAGACAGAGCATGAGTGGGGGAGGGACAGAGAGAGGTAGACACAGAATCCGAAGCAGACTCCAGTCTCCGAGCTGTCAGCACAGAGCCCAACGCAGGGCCTGAAATGGTAAACCTTGAGATCATGACCTGAGCCGCAGTCAAACGCTTAACTGACTGAGTCACCCAGGCGCCTCATAAGACAATAGATATAATATATTGTGGAAATGAAAAAACTAAACAGAAATGCAAGCAAAAATAACATTTAAGTGAGAAGGGGGAATAAAGGGAGCAAAAGTTATGAGGTCTTTGCATTGTCTGGGAGAAAAGTAAAAGTAGCTAATTAACGTATTAGGATGATAAGCCAAGAGTTCATGTTGTTTTCTGGAAAGCCACTGGCAAATATTAAGAGTAGGCGTGTTCAAAACTAAAATAGGAAAGCCAAAATAGGAATAACCAAAAATAATCAATCCACAAGAAAACAAGAAAGGGAAGAGAAAAAGAAAGAACATAAAATTGGTTGGACAATAAAAAAGACATAATAGGATGATAGATTTAAAGCCAATATAAAAATTATTCATGAGTAAAAGTGGACTAAATGCGCCAATGAACAAACATACTTTGTCCAATGTGATAATTCAGAAATGCTAAAAGTTTGTCAGATGGGATTAAGATACAAAACCCTTTATGTAGAAACTAATTTGACAATCAACTATTTGTAAAAAAAAAAAAACAAAAAACAAGATACAAAACCCAGTATTACGCTGTTCAAAAAGACACACTGAAAATATAAGATACAGAAAAGTAGAACATGAAAGGATGCAAAAGATAAGACATTCAAATACTAACGAAAAGAAAACGGGTGTAGCTGTATTATATCAAATAAATTTGACAGAGAAAGAGAAATAAAAGGGGTATTTAGTAATAATAAATTACTCAATTCACCAACAAAATATACACATAAATTTGTGTGCATTTACTGATATAACCTCAGAATGCAAAAATTAAAAGTGGACATAATGAAGGAGAAACAGACAAATTTACATTTATAGGAGGAGATTTTAATACATCTCTCTCAGAATTTATAAAACAGGCAGACCAAAAAAATACCAGTAAGGACACATAAGATTAAAACATTTAACAAACTTGGCATAATGGACATATGTAGGACAATGAATGCAAAAGCTATATAATAAACATTCATTTGGTTTTTTTTTAATTTCTTATATTTATTTATTTTTGAGAGACAGAGAGCATCCCAGGGAGGGGCAGAGAGAGAAGGAGACACAGATTCCGAGGCAGGCTCCAGGCTCTGAACAAGCTGTCAGCACGGAGCCCAAGGCAGAGCTCAAACCCATGAACCGTGAGATCATGACCTGAGCCAAAGTCGGCTACTCAACCGACTGAGCCACCCAGGCGCCCTGATTCTTAAGCACCAGTGAATGGTTACAAAAATTTATTTTATTTTTTTTATTTATTATTATTTTTTTTTATTTCTAGGAGAGAGAGAGAGAGAGACAGCGTGAGCAGGGGAGGGTCAGAGAGAGAGGGAGTCAACAGACTGAAACAGGCTCCAGGCTCTGAGCTGGCAGTCAGCACAGAGCCCGACGCGGGGCCCGAACCCACGAACCGTGAGATCATGACCTAAGCGAAAGTCGGACGCTTAACCGACTAAGCCACCCAGGCGCCCCACAAAAATTTATTATATACAGTGCTAAAGAGTAATTTTAACAAATTTTAAAGGGCAAGAATTTATATAAACTATGAATTCAATGGATACTAGAAATTAATAACAAAAATATATCTAGAAAATCTCCATACATTTGAAAATTAAGCAATATACTTCTGGAAAACCTGATGGGTCAGTGAAGACACTATAATGAAAATTTT